GGAGGGTTATCATCCGTTTTTTTTTCTCATTTTTGACCCATTGGGGATTTTATCCATCACTTCCACCAGAACTAGTGTTCCAAAGAGTTCCCCTCTACTACTGTTCTGGGGACAACCCAAAATCTGGGATTTTCTTTTACTTTCACTCACAGTGATAATAGTAAAACATGACAAAGAGGGCAAATCTCCTGAATGGGGGGCACAAAGCAATTAACATCTGACAGGTGTTGTAATCCCTTGAAACAAAAATTTAAAAAAAAAAAAATGCGTTATACTTTAAAGCAGAGATTCAGTCAAAATGGGGGAAAAAAAAAAAAAAATCAAAAGAGCAGTTTTTATATACAGAACATATGTGAGTGCATTTCTTTTATGAATAAAACAGTTTTGAAGGATAATACACTATGATCTGATTATTCCTCTGCATAAACCACCGTGGAAGGGGAGCCTATCGTTTGAGTGGAGAAGGACCCCAAACAGCAGGATACCATTCCATCCATTTTGGCCCATTTAAAAAGGGAAACAAGCGTGATATGACCTCACTTAACGGTTTGGTCATATATTTGACGTGAGAGCCCATCTGGTGGGGGAGCACAGTAAATGCAAGTTTTCTCACAAAAAAAAAAATCAATTAAAGAAGAACGGGATATTTCATTATGAAAAAGGAACGGAGCACGGTTGAAGAGAGATGTGTATATATATATATATATATATATATATATATATATATATATATATATATATATATATATATATATATATATGTATATACATATTCCTCCTTATAATTTCTATAATATTTTTATTTTTTTAATTATTGCATTTTTTTTGCTATGGATATAGACATTACTATTACCGTATTTGCCGGCGTATAAGACAACTTTTTTGCCCTGAAAAAAAAACATGCCTCCAAGTGGGGGGGTCGTCTTATACGCCGGGTGCACTTCAGTTGGGATAGATATAGCTGCCATAGTGGCCTCCCGATGCCCGCCCGCCCGCCCGCCTCATTCTACATACCATCCAGTATCGCGCGGTATCCAGTGCGGCCGCGGCGGGTCATCAGCGTGGCTGCGGCGAGCATCAGCAGCGATACAGGGGTGCCAGCCTTTTCTGCTCGGCGGGAAGCAGCGGCGCTCCGGCCCGCCCCTTGTCTATGCAGAACTCGCACATGCGCACTAGTGCCAATTACAGGGAGATGCAGGGACTGGCCGGAGGCGCTGCGGTCGTGTACAATGGTGACAATGACAGGTACTGTAGTGGCACTAATACTACGGGCACTCATGTGAAACCGGTAACAATAAATGCACACAGGGGTATACTTTTATACATTTTACAACTTTCTCCTCGCCCCCTCCCCCCTTCTTATGCACTCCCTATCCAAATCTCTTATCAGGTCATAATATACCATATGTCACTTGGTATTAATATACGGTACTATAATACTGGTGCTATCCATAATATGGATTCAAGGGCGGACCAGACTGCTGCTAGTGACATGTAGACGGAGGGCAGACAGGGAGCAGGGACCAATCCAATCAGGCTTTGTATACAGCCAACCACAGTACTGCACCATTGTACAGTACAATACAGCATAGAAAATGTCCAGTAGTCAAACCCCTATCAACCTTATCATGGCACCAGCAAAAAGAAAGAAATATGATGCAAGTTTTAAACTTCAAGTTGTAAACTTTGCCATGGAACATAATAATTGTGCTGCTGCAAGACAATATGGAGTAACAGAAAAGATGGTTCGGGACTGGAAATCAAATGAAAAAGCATTAAAGAGTATGCCTAGGGGTAAGTGTGCATTAAGAAGAGGCACCCCACACTGCCCAGAACTCGAAAAACATGTAGCAGACATGGTGGCTCAGCATCGCCAAAACGGTTATGTGGTGATACGAAATATAATACGCTTGTTTGCACTTCAGTGGGCCAAATCTAACCCAGATCACAGCAACAATTTTAAAGCCACTATATCCTGGTGTAGTAGATTCATGGCAAGGCATGATCTGGTACTAAGGCAAAAGACAAAAATTGCCCAAAAATTACCTGCAGATCTGGATAACAAAGTGGATAGTTTCCATCGATACGTAATACAACAGCGCACTAAACATGGCTATGCGTTAAGTAATATTGGAAATATGGATGAAACTCCAATGAATTTTGATATGATTGGAAATAAAACTGTTCATCAAGAAGGTGAAAAAACTATTTTGACAAAAACAACAGGACATGAGAAGTCAAGTTTTACAGTGGTACTAGCATGCACAGCTGATGGCAACAAACTGAAACCTATGATTATTTTTAAAAGGAAAACAATGCCAAAACTCAAGTTCCCTGCTGGTTGTTTTGTGCACGTGCATGAAAAAGGCTGGATGGATGAGGAGGGTGTGAAACTTTGGCTGGATAATGTATGGAGCAGACGACCAGGTGTTCTACTTCAAAAACGTAGTCTACTTGTGTGGGATATGTTCAGGGCTCATTCAACTCCCACCACTAAGGAAAGGCTTGCGAGAATAAAAACAGATGTGGCAGTTATTCCTGCAGGATTGACATCATTGGTACAGCCCCTGGATGTGTGCCTAAACAAGCCATTTAAAGATCGCATTCGAGAACAGTGGAATGAATGGATGGTTAGCGGCGAAAAGTCATACACAAAAGGAGGAAACATGCGTGCTCCACAGTTGGATGTTTTGTGCCAATTTGTCATAAAAGCCTGGAATGATATTGATGCACAAACAGTAATCAAGTCTTTCAAGAAGTGTGGCATATCAAATTCATTAGATGGTATGGAGGACGAGTACTTGTGGCAAGATGAAGAGGAAGCTGAAGCTGAGGCCACATCATCTGACACGGAATTAGATCCATACGATGACTGCCTTGCAACTGTATCACAAGATGTCATTGATGAACTTTTAATATCAGATGACAAACAGGAGTTTGAAGGCTTTTAAAGGGAAACTGTCACGCCAGGTTTTACACGAGGAGGTGGCGCCCGCTGTTTTTCTTCTTGTCTTCTACAGTGTGTTGCCAGAGTCCCTCTGGGTTGTGGGCTGCCTGCCTGTGTTCCTGAGAAGCATCTACCCGTCCATAGGGTTCACTTGGAGTGTTGCTTGCGCAGAGGAGGGAGTGTGTTGTCTTTAGTGAATTACGTTTAATAAACTTGCACTGTTTTATGTTTACTGTACATGTTTGATAACATACAGCCTTGTTACAGTTTTCCTGCATGTCATAAGCATTCGAATATAAATTAAAATGTTGAAATCAAATCTGATGTTCTTTTACATTTTATTTGGTGTGTGGAAGGTGTGCGGAAGAGGGGGTAGTCTTATACGGCAAGTATATAACAAACTCTATATTTTGAGTGGAAATGTTGGGGGGTCGTCTTATACACCCAGTCGTCTTATACGCCGGCAAATACGGTACTTTTTTTGATCATATGTATGCATATTGGTTTTGCCTATTGAGATTTATGGTGCCACCTGTTATATTAGCACCTGGTTGCACTTCTTATTTATTACAGATTTATTTTGAGTAACTTTTGTGAAGCACGGCACATTTCTGTTCATCAGCAACTACAAAAACTTTCCAAAGGTGTCAATCCTTAATGGGGAGTGGGGAACAAGGCCTTAAGGCAGAACATCAGTTTTGGGTGGAGCTCTATTTTAAGTAGATCTAAACTCAAAACTTGTTTATACCTTAAAGTGTTATTCTTTCTGCTGCAAATTCTCATGTCAAAGATATAAACTCAAACTAGCAACAGTACTAGGGAAACCCACTTTGACCTACAGCTTTGAAAGCCAGCTGACCGTATATATTACACTTGAGAGTGCAGTTTTTATAAGCTGAAAATATTATAAAAATATACTCAAAATAACACACACCAAAAATAAAACACAACAGTGTGCAGTCTTTTTACTTTATATTTTCTAAATATGAAGTCACTGTAATGCAAAATATACATTAATAAATTCTGCTATTTAAACATTAGGCTTACATGCTATTCAAAATCTGTAAAAAAAAAAAAAAAATTTGAAATTTTTAGGTTTTAAAAGCATTTAACCTCTTTTTACAATTTTAAAAATTGGTAAAAACATTGTGATAAAAAAAAACAACAATTCCAAAAGAAATATTACTGACAGAAGATATAAAGCATTTCACATAAAAACAGATATACTCATCCAACCTCCTATGGTGCTTTCTACAAAAGCAGATTTCCCTAATTCATTACCATGGCACAATGTGCAGATTGAGGATATCGTTGTTTGTAATACGTGGGATGGTTTGTCTTTTCTGCGGGATACTAAAGAAAGCTATAGTGAAGTTCCTGCTGCACTGGATGACTTTTGGTCCGTGTCTACAGCTGTCTAACAGAAGACAGTCGTTAAACTGGCTTCTGCAGAACAGGCATGCAGCCTGCATTTGATCAAAGCTTGCAGCCAACCCCATGTCAGAATACAAAGGTCTCAGCGGGACATTGTACCCAACTTAATAACAACAGATACAATACATGTACCACCTTCCTATAAAGTTTGGAGGGCCAAAAAAAAAAAGTTTAATGGGTAGGGAGAGAGTGAACCTTAAAACGGAATAAAAAACATCTTAAATACCTGCCCAAATTGTGCTACTTTTAGACTAACTGGACCTCTTAGAACTGTCCTAGCACTACCTCCAACATGAATGACAGGGACTCAGCTCCTAATCTTTGCAATTTAGCCATATTTGTTGGTTTCAGAAAGTACACTTCTCTGTTTAGTAAAACCATAGGAGGTAAGTTAATGATTGACGTGCTTGGAATTTTGCTTCATTATTAAAAGAAGTTGAAACTAAAAAAACCTCCACAAAAATTGTTCAATAAAAAAACAAAAGCAAACTCAAAACTATATATCTAGGCTAATGAAATATTTCATTAGCCTCAAATATTACTGGTCTGTTTGAGAAAAAAATTAATACTACAATCTCTATACATATACTGTACATAAGGGAAGAATGAGATACACCGTTTAATGGTGAGGTGGACCCCATCTGGGATCTTTTCTTGAATATGGACTTGACCTCTCCTGACCCCGGCTTCGATAATGCTGCTCCTCTGGACCATGGCTTCGATAATGATGCTCCTCCACACCATGACTTCGATATTGAGATTCTTCCTGACCCCCCCTGTTATACATATCTCTATTGTTATAATTTTCATAAGGATGGGGGACATGGTTTCTTGAGTTTCTGTGTTCAGGGGGAGAATCATATCGGTGCTGAGTAGGATGGTTACTGTTCGGGCTGTACCAGCTAGGCTCCTGCTTATAAAAGTTGTTCATCTTGTGGGAGGAAAAATAAATAAAAAAAAAATAGTACAGTGCTAAATACTACACCAAAAACTTTAAAGCTATATATATATATATATATTACTTGAACCAAAATCTACTGGGCTAATAGCCACACTAAAATGTGGAAAAGAAATCATCTGAGTTTTTTTTTTTTTAGGTGCTTTAGGTGTCACCATTATGGAGATTTTGCTTTCACTTTTTAGGAGTGTTCACTGGGATGGAAAGCAAGAACGCTCTCTGCAAACTCTTCTGTCCTAAGCAGTACTTTTATCAGAACCCCACCCACCTACTAGTTGAGAATGTTCAGGTATTTTGGTCAGGTGTTCAGTCTTTAGCCTCATCTGTGGTTGGAATTCATACAATTGTTAAATAAAAAACTGAGCTTCTACAATCACTTTAACAATTGTATGAATTCCAACCACAGATGAGACTAAAGACTGAGCACCTTCTGACCAAAATACCTGAACATTCTCAACTAGTGGGTGGGTGGGGTTCTGATAAAAGTACTGCTTAGGCCAGAAGAGTTTGTTTTCAAAATATTTTTGATAGATACAGGGGGTCTAGAGAGGAGGAGGGAGGAGGAGGGGTGAGACTGGAGTCCACTGAAAACACAATGTTTTCCTACACTGTTCTTTGCGTTTCATAGCTGCTGGTAAATGTTTCAGGTCATTAATCTCATTTACCACTGCTATCCATTGACCAACTGATGGTGGCTCTGTGCTTTTTCACTTTTGTGGGATTCAAACCTTGGCAGCATTAAGCAGGTGTATCAGGAGGGATCTCTGGTACCTGCGTCTCGAGAGTGGAGTAATGTGTAAGAGAACTCTCTGGACATGCCTCTAAAGATATGTCAGTATCGAATTATTACCTTTACTAACAGATGCATCCACTGTGAGCATCAAACTTCCTTTGACTGGTTGAAGTGGAGATTGTGATGTAATTCCTCCACCTCTCCAACTAGCCAAACTATTTTAAAAGTGACAAAGCCGGAGTTCGTGACCTCACGAAGTGGCCAGACATCAAAAGCACAACAGTTCTGGGGCTCAATTGCAGACTTGGTCTCTTACTTCAAGCAAATTGCTGGAGAGTGTGAGATCTCTGCGGACCAGTAGGGCCAGAGTGAGGTTCCTTGGAAGGAGAGCAGCTTGGGGTTGGTGGAAAGAGGCACAAGGAGGAAATGATTTACCAGGGGGGTGCACAGAAACATTACAATCTGATCGGCCATTAGAGCAGAGGAGGAAGGAGAACAGGCAGAATTCCTCAATTGCACAAAAAGAAAACCCTCACACACAAAAAGCACAACACACTACCACACACTTTAAAACATTAGCCACAACGGGACAATGAAAACTGAAACTGCTAAAAAAGTTAAGCTTTACCATTGCTTGTCTTTGCAGATTATCTGGAGAGGAGTGGGGCCTCTGGTAGCTTGCACCAGGTGAGAAGTCAGTGTATTTCATGAAATCCTCATTAACATCCTGTCTGGGATAACTAAAAATAAATGGCAAGTTGGTTGCGGCAAAAAAAATTGACAGCTCATAAAACATATTAGTGCCAAACAGAGGAAATCTGAATCGTGCAATGATACGTAAACATTACATCAGCTGATGATGAGATAGTCTTGTAATATTCCTATTTACCAGTAGGCTAGCACAGGTTACAAAAATACATACAGGACCTCAGTTTAAACTGTTCTTTAGTTTTGTCTTTCTCACTCAAAATAGGAGACCAACAACTTTATACTTCCATTCACTCCAACATGTCTGCCCAAAGTGCATTAATGTGCTCTTTTCATTCCCCCTCCTCTCATTTGAATTTCTCTCATCAAACTCTCGGCTCCCATTCACCTTTTGTACGTCTTTCCCATTTATTATCCCTCTTCATTTCCAATCCCTTTCACCTTAACCCCCTCCACCTCAGATACTCCAACTTTCCTCTCCCCCAACACTCCCAACTGATAACATAAAAAAAAGTTTTAAAACCCATAAAATGTGTAATGAATATAATTGACAAAGCCATTATAGTTATGTGGAAAAGTAAACCTGACCTAACCAGAAAGGCCTTAGGGAGGCATAAAAAAATAAAAAAAAAAAGGGGCTGAACTTTGTAGAATATTTATGCCTAATTAATCCCAGCAAAACATTAGACCACTTTTTTTTATTTCTTTATTGTTTTATTTTACCTAGGAAAGGGTCCATAAAGCTTTTCTTGAAAGTAGAACTATGGCCTCTCATTAAAAAAAATGTGCTGCAGCACTTTATTCAAATGTCAATGAAGTCCACTTAAAGTGGTTCTAAAGCCTAGGTTTTATTTTTTTTTTTTACCCTAAAAATTCTATATATCAAGTAAAAAACCTTTTGGGCAACAGAATCCTCCCCTGCCCCTATTTCTACTTACCTGAGCCCATCCCCAATCCAGCGCTGTGCATGATCAGGAATAGGCTCATTTCTGGGAAGATTGATAGCAACAGGAGCCACTGGCTCTCGCTGCCATCAATCAAATCCTATGATGAGGGAGCGAGGCGGGTTCCGAGCCATGCTGTCTGTGTCAATAGACACAGACAGGGATGTTCAGGAGAGAGCCCACATGAGTGTCCCCATAGGAAGCAGCTGCCTATTGGGGAACTTGCCAAAGGGTAGGGGCCAGGAGCACCAGCGGGGGACCAGAGAAGGGCCAGGATGAGCAATAAATGACTTTTTTTTTTATAAAGCTTTATTACTTTAAAAGCAGCTAGCTGTATAGCCATACAAAGCAGTGTGCTTACAGCTGCACACACACAGAACACAGTGAAACAGCACACAGTTAACCCTTTGATCTCCCCTACATGTTAACCCCTTCCTGCCCAGTGCCATTAGTACAGTGTCAGTGCTTTTTATTAGCACTGATCACTGTATTGGTGTCACTGGGGATGTCAGTGACACAAAGTCAGTCCCCCCCCCCCCCGGAGTCAGCGCGCCAGCCACAGTCTAGCTATAAGTCACTTACCGCCGCCACTACTAGCAAAAAATGAAAAAAAAAAAAAATATTGAAGTATATATAAATGCCACTTGTAAACGCTATAACTTTCTGGTAAACCAATTAATTAACACATATTGGGATTTTTTTTTTTTTTTTTTTTTTTTTTTTTTTTAGCAAAGACACGTAGCAGAATACATTTTGGCCTAAATTTATAACGAAATTTGATTTTTTTTTATTGGACATGTTTAATAGCAAAAAGTCAAAAATATTTTTTTCTCAAAATTGTTGGTCTCTTTTTTGTTTATAGCGCTTAAAAAAAAAAGTAAAAATGCACAGGCGATTAAATACCATCGAAAGAAAGCTGTATTTGTGGGAAAAGGATTTCATTTGGTTGCAGTGTTGCATGAACGCGCAATTGTCAGTTAAACGCAGCGCCATAATGCAAAAAATGGCCTGGCTGGGAAAGAGAGGGCGTAAATCCTCTGGAGACAAGTGATTAAACAAAAGTGGAGTTACCCTTGAATCTTGGAGAAAAGTCCAGGCCCTCTTTATGATATGCACATAGGGGCATGGCAACTATTTTAACCACTTGCCTACAGGGCACTGATACCCCCTTCCTGCCCAGGCCAATTTTTAGCTTTCAGCGCTGTCACACTTTGACAATTGCGTGGTCATGCAACATTGCACCCATATGAATTTTTTTTTTTTTTTTTTTTTTTTTTTTTTTTTTTTACACAAATAGAGCTTTCTTTTGGTGGTATTTACTCGCCGCTGCGCTATAAACAAAAAAAAGAACAAATTTGAAAAAAAAAAAAAAAAAAGGGGTTAACCATTTCAATACCGGGCAATTTTACACCTTCGTGCCCAGGCCAGTTTTCAGGTTTCAGCGCTCTCACACTTTGAATGACAATTGCACAGTCATACAACATTGTACCCAAACTAAAATTTTAGCATTTTCTTCACACAACTAGAGCTTTCTTTTGGTGGTATTTAAATCACCGCTGGGGTTATTTTTTGCTAAATTAACAAAAAAAAACCAAAAATTTTGAAAAAAAAAAAAAAAAAAAAACACGTTTTTCTTTGTTTCTGTTATAAAAGTTTACAAATAAATAATTGGTCTTTATAAATTTAGGCCGAGATGTATTCTGCTACATGTCTTTGGTGAAAATAACCCAAATTAGGATGTATTATTTAGTTTGTAGGAAAGTTATAGAGTTCACAAACTATGGTATAGATCTGAAAATTGATCAATCCTGAAGTACTGACAGCCAATCTAATTTCTTGAGGTCCAAGAATGTCAGAATAGTACAGATATCCCCCAAATGACCCCTTTTTGCAGAGTAGACAGTCCGACGTACTTCATAAGAGGAATGGCGAGTTTTTTGAAGTTGTATTTTTTTTGTCATAATTTTTCGGAAAATGAAAAAATTTACTATTTTTTTTTTTTTTTACATACTGTCACCAGTGCAGTACAGCGTCATCATATAACTGGCATGGCGGTGATCAGGGACACTGACTGGTGACAGTATGAAAAAAAAAATAAATATATATTTTTTTTATTTTAAAATTTTTTATTACATTTTTTTTTTTAAGATTTTTTTTTCATATTTTACTATGACCAAAGTAGTACAATGTTACCATAGTAACATGTGCAGGACATGTGCATGTGACCTGCTGTGACCATTCACAGCTAGGCACTAGTATACAATGGATGGCATGAATGAAGCCATCCATTGTATACAACTGTCATGTGACCTGCTGTGATTGGTCACAGCAGGTCACATGGTACCGGCAACGGGGGCCAGGACTCAGATCTGTCATCGGCCGTGTCCGAGGTGCACGGCCGGTGACAGATCACGCCGCTGCGCAGCTCTGCAACCGCGTGAACTGCGCATGTGCGGGAGGACGCCAAATGGCGTACACCACGGAAAGCTACCCCGGAAAGCTAAAGCATTTTTGCGGCCGCCAAACAGGCTATAGGCCGGGCGGCTAATGGTTAAGGGGTTTTGTGTCTCCATTATAAAATTTTGCAAACAGGTAATTTTTCTCCTTCACTGATGTGGAGTTGATGAAGCTGCACTGATAGGTGGCACTGATGAGCTGGCACTGCCTGGCGGCACTGCTGGGCGCTGGCGGGTGGCGACACTGCTGGACACCGATCATCAGTGCCCTGATGATCGGTGGCGATCCCTCCTCTGACAACTGCCGGTTCTCGGCAGTACTTCCCTCACACTGTGGCAGCGTGAGGAAAGTGCAGCCGATAACCGGCAATTGCATTTTCCGGTGATCAGTGTGTCATTGGACACGGCTGATCACATGGTAAAAGGCCGCTGTGATTGGCCTTTTGCCATACCACGTGATCAGCTGTGTCCGTAGGACATAGGAGATCACAGAGATCACCAGGGGTGTGCAGGACGACGTCATATGACACCCACCCAGAACTGGCTGGCCGCCGCAGTGAAGCCGTCATTCGGCTATCTGTGGTCGGCAAGTGGTCAAGGGCGATATTAAATAAGGGTTTTTTTTTTGTTGTTTTTTTTTTAAATAACAAAAAACATGTCATACTTACCTGCTCTGTGTAATGGCTTTTCATAGAGCAGCCCTAATACTCCTTTTCTTGGGTCCCCCGCCAGGATTCCTGGTCCCTCCCTCCTGTAAAGTGCTCCCAGAGCAATCAGCTTGCTATGGGGGCTCCTGAACCACTCATCTGTATATCCATTCACAGATCCATTTGCTTGGCCCCGCCCTGTCTCATTGGCTCACTGGCTGTGATTGACAGCAGTGGGAGCCAATGGCAGAGGGCTGAGGAAGTAGAGTCCATGCATTGCCAAGGCTTTCGTGCACCTTGCTGGATCGCGATGGGCACAGGTAAGTATTAGGGGGGTTAGGGCTGCTGTACACAGGTTCTTTACATTCATGCAAAGAATGCAAGAAGGTAGAAAACAATAGGTAATTGGAAAAACAAAAAGGTATCTTCTAGGCAAGGTCTACACACAACACTTTTTTTCTTCCCTTCTATTGGTTGAACTGAATAGACTTGTGTCTTTTTTTCAACCAGGCCATGTAACTATTTAACTTGCAGGAGTGCACAAAGCCTGGTATCAAACTGCAAAAGGTCTGTAATCTCCTTTTAGCAAGAAAGAATGCTCACAAGCAGCACACAGGGAAAGGAAACCACTAGAAGGACAGACTACATACTAGGTAAAAAAATAAATAAATTCAAGCTTCATTGTAAGCTACTGCCTTGGAACCAACCTGTGGTCAGGAGGTTAAGATATCAGCATAATGCTGGAAAAATATTCTATGGGCAAAAGTTCTATACTGAGCCATGCAACTTGGACAGAACACAAAATAGACTATAGGCTGTACAAACCTGAAGTGTATTGATGATCCTTTCCCTTATTTTATTTATAAATGCTTATCTGCTTTATGTAAGCCTTATCAATGTGTTTTAAATCTTTCAAAAACCTTTTTTCTGTGCATAGTTTCAAATTACATATACATATGGCCCAACCTTATGTGCTTCAGCTTCCTGAGCTGCAGTGCTACATATAGTGTGTGTATTATTGTTCCTTTTCTGTGTCTTAATTCAAGAGCCTTTAACCAGAGAAGCAAAGGCTCTTTGCTGAAAAGCTATTATGAAGAGTCACAGCATGTGACAACATCCCTGATATTAAGTACTCAGTCTTGAGCACTGTGGAATGACCAGGGAAATTATATTGTTCCCCTGGGTCACTGACAGCATTCATCCATATGCAGGCTGCAGAGGGAGAAAGGAGCAAAGAGGGATTACTGGTAAGGTGTGTGGGTGTATGGGCCATGCATGCAGTATCGTGACAGTGTCTTTATTGGCATTTAAAAAAAAAATATATATATATAGAATAATAATAATACAGGATAAACAAATATGTAACAGTAAAGACACACACAGATAAACAAAATGCAACAACCTAAAATATGTGCTCACTGAGAACAGGGTATGTTTTTTTTCCCCTTACAAGCAATGACTTCAAGATTTTGTACCTGTTACCATTAGATGCTTGACTGTTTCCAGGAGCATTTCCTTGTGGTGATTGAGCCAAATTTGTATCTTGAGATAAATGAGTGCTTCCTAGAAACAAATTCAAAAACACAAAATGTTAAAAATGCAAAAATAAATAAATAAGACTATCTTACTAAACATGCTGCCTTTCACACCATCCCATCTAACTGCTCTGCGCCAACACCCTTTTCCACAACTAACTATAGGGCAATACGCACAACCGACAAGCAGTGCAGGAGCAGTTCATTTGCTTTTCTCACTAGCAGCAGAATACTGGTCAGATTCAACATTAGTGTTTCTCAGTGTGCAATAGGGGCATCTTGATTCAAATCACAAAGCAATACAGTATTACAGCAGTTGCCACCAATTCCAGGAAAAAAAAAAAAAAAAAAAAGAAGAAAGGAAGGGCAGTGAATGTGTTCAATGGCAGGGTTTACTGCAAGTTAAAATAAAGTTTCTCAGTTCACAGAAACTGCAGCCGCTGCTGTGTTACCTGATCTGTACTGAAGTTTGAGTGGTCTACCAAAAAGCTTGATCCCATTTAATAAATTCATCCCATAAGGAACAGATTCCTCATGTTTAAAATTCACAAAAGCAAACAGTTTTGGCTTGCCATCTTTGTCCTTTGGAATTTTTACATTAACTGTTGGGCCAGCCTGCAAATAAAAGGAGAAAAAACATTAAGTTAAAGCGAAGTTCCAGTCAAATAAAAAAAAAAAATAAAATAAAAGTCAGCAGCTACAAAAACTGTAACTGTTGACTTTAAAAATACAGCCACTTACCTGTCCCTCGGTCCAGCAGTGTCCTCACCAAGGCTGGTTTCACTCTCTCTGGTATCTTCAGTGTGGGCAGTCAGCTGTGACAAACTTGTGGCTTCACAGCCGGGTGCCCACTGCGCATGTGCAAGTAGTGCTGCACTTTATAATGTAGTCTTCTGGGACCTGTCTCGTGTCCCAGAAGACTAAGGGGAGGGAGGGGGAAGGACAACTTCCAAACACCTTAGGTGATGTCCATGCCATTTTCAAGTTTTCAGCACTGTACCCAAACAGTTTTTATATAATTTTCTTTTGGTGGTATGCAATAACCACTGGTCTCTTTTTTGCTATAAAAAAGGAAACTGAACAAACCTTTCCCTTATTTTCCCACTCAAAAAAAACAAACAAAAAAAAAAAAAACAAAAAAAAAAAAAAAAAACTTTCTTCATATATTTGGGCAAAACGTATTCCGCTACATTTCTTCAGAACAAAAAATAAATAAGAGAATATTTAGACTGTGAAAATTATTTAGACTGTGAAAGGAATAGAGTCTACAAACTATGGTATAAATAATTGAAGATCGGCCTAGATGTTCTGAATGCTCATTTCATTGCCTAAAACTCACATTTAATGGGAAGTGTCCCTTGTGGTAGTGACTGCTTTCCTAGTTGAAATCTTCTGTCCCCTAACCTGTCCCATCCATCCACAAGTAGAGGTAATATTTTAGTGCTGGCGGGAAAAGGGGGTGTTAATACAGCCACTGGACCTGTTGTAGGCACTCATCAGGAGTGCCGACTATGCAAGCCCTTTTTGCCCCACCCCCCTCCTATATTCATAGAATCTTTACTATAGCTTCCATCAGTGAAAAACACTCCATGAATTGAAGAGGTGGATATTGGTATCAGGTGACACTGGTACTGGCTCGCAATCAGGACACTGGCATGGATGATGATCAGAACGCAGCTGCTTGCTCACATTGGTACTAGACGACATAGTACATGTGCTGTAGGCAATCAGGATAAAAAAACTCTCCTCTCACAGATGATCAGTACAGCAACCCTGTTAACCACTTGCCTCCAGCGGATTCACCCCCCCTTCCTGACCAGACCATTTTTTATTTATTTTTTTTAAATTGCGCTCCACTACTTTAACTGACAAATGCGCGGTCTGCAACCCTGCACCCAAATGAAATTCATGTCCTTTTTTCCCCCACAAGTGGAGCTTTCGGTGACCTCTACGGTTTTTATTTTTTGTGCTATAAACAAAAAAAGACCAACAATTTAAAAAAAAATATATATATATTTGACTTTTTGCTATAAAACATTCAGTAAAAAATTTTAAAAATCAAATTTTGTCATAAAGTTAGGCCAAAATGTATTCCGCTACGTCTTTGCTAAAAAAAAAATAAAATAAAAAAAAAATCCCAATACATGTAAATGAAATGGTTTACGTAAAAGTTATAGCGTCTACAAATGGAGGTAATATATACACTGGAATTTTTTTTTTTTTACACTGGTAATGGTGGCGATCAGCAGCTTATAGCTGGACTGCGGCGGGCATTCTGACACTAACTTACTGCCACTGACCAGTGCTAAAAAAAAAAAAAAAAGAGAACAGACACTGTACTAATTACACTGGGCAGGAATGGATTAACATCTGGGGCGATCAAAGGGTCAACTGTGTGCTGTTTTCTGTTTTACTATGTTTGCTGTTTTACTATGTGTGCTGTGTGTGATTTACTATGTAACCATGCTGCTTTGTATTGCTCTGCTATGCGGAGCAAAACAAAGCAGCATGTTGGAGCTGACAGGGGAGAGATCTGTATTGTTTACCTACAGACCTCTCCTCTGTCAGTGTTCTTCAGCGATCACCAGTGGGGAATCTCTGGCCAGGACCCGGTGATTGACAGCCATAGCCGCCCCTACCCGGAAATCATGTACACACACACACACTTTTGCACAGTCCTGCTGACCTGTAGCAGTATTTGTGCTATAGGGTGGCAGGGAAGCGGTTAAGTGCACTGGCCATTCATTGTTGTCGTCCGTTTAGGTTTTTTTTTGCCACATGCAGCACAAAGCATAAAAAAAAAACCAAAAAAAAAAAAAAAAACCACAAGAACACAAACAGCCATAAAGCCAAACACACAAGCATACAGAAGGAATACTGCTGGCTGAGTTCCATAACCCAATAAGAAGCAAAAGGAGCTCTGGAAGCACATTTTCAAACACACAGCATTTATATGGTCTTTTAACCACCTTCCGCCCGTCATATAGTAATATGACGGGCGCAAGGTGGTTCTCTCGTTCTGGGAGGATGTCATATGACGTCCTCCCATTCTCACTGCGCATGCGCGGCTCAGGGAGCGGGCAGCGCGGCAGTGCGCTGTGTCCCTCAAACACAGCGGATCACAGATCATGGAAAGAGCCGAAGATGTCGGCTCGGTTATGTGATCAGCTGTGTCCAATCACAGCTGATCACATGTAAACAGGGAAATGCCGGTTATCGGCATTTCTCTCCTCTCGAGATGTCACGCTGACAGCTCGAGAGGAGAGCCGGTAATCGGCTTTCCACGGAGGGGACACGTACACTGATCATCAGGGCACTGATGATCAGCGTGCCCTGATGATCAGTGTGGCCCCAGCAGTTCCACTTGTCAGTGTCCATCAGTGCCTCGTGCCAGTGCCCATCAGTGCCTACCAGTGCACATCAATGCCCATCTGAGCTGCCTTTCAGTGTCACCCATCAGTGCTGCCAGTGCCACCTATCAGTGCAGCCTATCAGTGCCCATCAGTGCAGCCTCATTAACGCACATCAGTGAAGGAGAAAAATCACTTATTTACAAATTTTTATAACAAAAACTAAGAAAAAACTTTTTTTTTTTTCAAAATTTTCAGTGGTTTTTGGTTTAAGAAAAAATAAAAAACCCAGACATGATTAAATACCACCAAAATAAAGTTCCAAATCCTCCAAGTCCATGATAGCAATACATACTGGAATGCAATAGGTGTGTCTATTTCGTACATCTCTTGTACGTGTGTGAATAGCTTTTAGGCAAACAAGAGCCTACTCAAATAGAAGGTAGAAGACAGAAGGAATGCTTTACAATTCAAATAGGAAAAGAAAAACATTTAAACATGAATATAAAGCCACTAGTATTGTTGTTCATTTATGTCAGCAGTTTTGTCATCTATGCCCCAATCATATTACTTACTACATGTAGGGTAACACCTATGACTGTAAGCCCTGACAAACAAATACATGGCCAGCCCTACCAATTCCATCACTATTACCCAACTGCAATTGCAGACTATTATGCTCCACATTCATGTGACTTTCACACATCTGTAATAGACCTTTGTCTAGTACAGTTTGCACATACTTTAACAAAGGAATTTAGAAACTGACAGACATGGGTTACTGACCTGTAAAAATAGCTCAAACAGCAACTCCTCTGTAGCCCTGGGATGCAAGTTCCCCACAAACAGCGTCCGGTCAGCTTGTTCAGCACCCATGTTTACAGCAGAACCACAAGAGATGCTGCCAGTAACTTGGCAACCCGATGAGAGGACAGGAAGTAGTGGGAATTTTGATGCTCACGAGGCTGTCAAGGTGGAGATAAAAGCAGCATGCAGTGACGTTATTACAATAAAGAGAAACTTTACTCAAAACTGAATAAGAAAAAAATGTACAGTTAGCAATGCATATATAAAATGCCTACTTACCTTCAAATGTAGGTTTACCAGTCTATTGTACTCTCCCCCCCCCCCCCCCCCCCCCGACTCTAAAGGTGGCAATGGCCAAGCAAGGTGGATGGATGATTCCCTCAGGCTGAGACATTGTATTCTGACAGCGGGACTCTGTTCAACAGAAGTTGATAAAACAATCTACTTCTGTCAAACAGGGACGACAAAACACTGACTGAAATATGGCTGGTCCCCGCTGAACTGGCCAAATTTTGTCAGTTTATGGCCAGCTTTACCTCTCTCTCTCAGCAGTCGGTGCACTTTTTTTCTCCCCGATACGCTGGATTGTGGGCGGCCCTCTCCATCCACCATTATAATGCAGGACTATTGGCCATGCATTGTACTTGATATAATCAAAGTGCTTGCGACCACTGGAGTGTCTTAGAGAAGAGGCTGAGGGACTATCACATAAAATGAAGTGAGCCTGTGAAATTGTGCATATACTTTTTACTGGTACCCTAGGCATAAACAAGCATTTAAAGTATAGGTTCACTTTTTGGAATGCTACATGTTCCACACGTATTTAGGGTGGAACATGTAACATGTCCCAGCAGCTGCAGCCCCTAATCAGTGAGTGGGGATCTTCTCCTGGTGCCTGCTGTCACTATTTGAAAGCGGTGTGGGGCTCTGCTCACATGGCTGCATCATTCATTCACAGTTTCATGTGAATGACTTGAACTACAAGTGCCATCAGGCTTTGCTGTTGACAGCTTGTAGTTCTGAATGGACTGCAGTGTTGCTGATGAGCAGCCTTGTTGTTCGTTCACAAGCCCTGCAGCTTGTAAACGGTCAGCCTGTATGCAGTACGGACTAAAAGACTTCACATCTAAATATATTCTAAAAAGGAGCATGTTTACCTTACCTGTAGCTACAAGATAAAAAAAAAACAAGTTCACTATCACTTTAAAGTGGTATTAAACCAAAATGTATTATATTGCAACATCTTAGATGTGGTGGCTACATTAGGTTTCTGTTTTAACCTGGTGATGGCCAGTAAGTCTTTTGTTTTTCAGATGCTGCTGTTCTACAGCTTGCCACCAGTTGCCCCACCACTAATTCCACTCTTGTACATTATCTCACGAAATGACACTGTTAAATGTTTTATGTGGTTCACACGAACAAGGTTCGATTTTGATGCAGTGCTGAAAATACACAGAAATAGTCAAATTCTGCACCGCATAAGTGTGAACCAGGCCTAATCAAAAATCGCACTCAGTTCACAAAGTGAGTGATACTGAACAGAGGACAACATAGTAAAAAAGTAAAATGAAGGATCAGACCTAGAGCTCTATCAGCACACCAAAGCATCCTCTCATGATGTTCACTGACTGTTAGTTTAACTGATAAGTCTCAATTTTTTTCTGAGTCTACAGAAATTGTCTTATAATTTGTTCTGCCAGTAAGTGTTCACTGGCAGACTGGCACGTTCTCACTTTTTCTGGCCCGGGCTGGCTCCAAGTCATGGGGGTCTCCTCCAGCTCCTCCCCCTTCAGTCACAGGTCTGCTGACAGCTAGCTCCTGCCCCCTCCAACGGTCATACAGAGAACTGACTGAGCAGCCACGGAGAGACCAGGTGAGCGACCAGGGGGCTTGAGGGTTAGCCCAGCTGCTTTGCACTGCAGATGTACATACGGCCCGGAGGCCTCCACATGCCTGGTGTGCCCTATGGCCTGGAACACACTCGCTCCCACGTTATTTCCACTCGCCAAAAGCCAAGAGGAAATTTTGAGGCCAGACATAGTAGAACATTGTAGCCTACAGTATATACCATAGTATCGCAGTACAGATGTACATTGGCCTCACAGAGGATCCACAAATAGATTGCATTATATAGTATCCCATCTCCCCTACCCCCACAGAGAGCACGCAGACACCCACATACAGGTATACCGCCCCCCCTTCATACACACACACGGAGCACAAACAGTCCACACCCTGGTAAGAATCTACCCATAGCACCTTAGCACCTGTTGTCTTCATCCGGCCTCCTCCTTCTCCACTCCCAAGAATCCTCCACCGCACAGCCTGCTGGGAGCTGTAGTCCTCCCCTTTCCGAGCACTCCACTAGAGGGCAGAGGCTACAATACTTGGATCCCCCACACCAAGCTTCCAGCTGACTGGCCTCAGTATAGAAAACAATGGAGGGACTGACTGAGCAGCCACAGAGATCGAGTGAGCAGTCCAGCTGCTTATGCACATGTGGCCCGGAGGCCCCAGGCATGCCCTATGGACTTGGACAAACCTGCCCCCACGTTATTTCCACTCGTCAAATGCGAGCATAAATTTTGAGGCCTGCTACTAGTACATTTAACACTCCCATCCCCCCCAGACTGACAATGCTGCTGTCCAAAGGTGCCCCCTGTGCTCCTTCATCCAGAGTGGGGGCACTAATACAGGAGGTGTGTTTTTGACCAGATCACCAGGTGAAAACAGAGGGGATAATCCAAATAGAAGAAAACTGATGCAGCCACCACATCTAAGGTTCACAGTATTGCAGGTGTGTGAATCGCACCAGTTGCTGCACCCAAAATGTGCTGCTCTTTAACCACCTCCCGCCCGCCATATAGTAATATGACGGGCGCAAGGTGGTTCTCTCGTTCTGGGAGGACGTAATATGACGTCCTCCCATTCTCACTGCGCATACGCGGCTCAGGGAGCGCACAGCGTGGCGATTGGCGGTGCTCTGTGTCCCTCGGACACAGCGGATCACCGTTCACGGAAAGAGCCGAAGATGTCGGCTCGGTCATGTGATCAGCTGCTCACATGTAAACAGGGAAATGTCGGTTATCGGCATTTCTCTCCTCTCGAGCGGTCACGCTGATGATCAGTGTGCCTTGATGATCAGTGTAGCCCCAGCAGTGCCTTATGTCAGTGCTCATCAGTGCCAGTACCCATCAGTACCACATCAATGCCACATCTCAGTGCCTACCAGTGCACATCAATGCCACATATCAGTGCCCATCTGAGCTGCCTTTGTGTCACCCATTGCTGCCGCTGCCAGTGCTGCCTAAGTGCCAGTAAGTGCCGCCTAACAGTGCCATATATCAGTGCCATGTATCAGTGCCATGTATCAGTGCCCAGTGATGCCTGTCAATGCCCATCAGTGCCACCTACCAATGCCTCCTCATAAGTGCCCATCAGTGCAGCCTATCAGTGCCCACCAGTGCAGCCTCATTAGCGCACATCAGTGAAGGAGAAAAAAATCACTTATTTACTAAATTTTGTAACAATTAAGAAAAAAAATTTTTTTTTCAAAATTTTCAGTGGTTTTTGGTTTAAGAAAAAATAAAAAACCCAGAGTTGATTAAATACCACCAAAATAAAGCTCCATCTGTCACAAAAAAATGATAAAAATTTCATATGCGTACAGTGTTGTTTGACCGCGCAATTGTCATTCAAAGTGTGATAGTGCTGAAAGCTGGAAATTGGACTGGGCAGGAAGGGGGTATAAGTGCCCTGTAGGTGTGGTTAAAGATCCACAGGGCTGCCATTCATTCTTAAAGGGACCCCCGTGCATCTAAAGATGCAATGCGTTTGTGATTTCCCTGCTGCTAGAGTTGAAAATGGTGCAGGAACCTTTTATCTGCATGAAACTCAGGCACAGCAGCCCATTCAAATTAATGAGCTGCAGTACCAGAGAAAACATGGCAGGATAGTGTGAACATAGCCCAATGATTGGAAAGCTGCAATACATTACAGGTTTGGTTTTAGGTTTAACACCTCTTTAAACACTAGTACTTATCCCCAAGGGGGTGAAAAAATACACACATTAAGCACCACTGCAGTGGGGGTTTGAGGGGATTAACAAACACGGATTACCAATGTGTTGGAAAGGGGAGTCATGTGCATTAAACACTGACACTAACTACTAGTGGGTGTGAGGGGTTAAACAACACTGTTATTGAGTGCCAGTGTTGGGGAAGCGATTCATATCACTGCCATCAATGCTGCAGGTGGTGGTTGTGCTCACTGACATCAATGGCTCCAGTTTGCTCTTCAGTATGACTACATTCACACCTAAGACATATGAAGAACCCCCCCCCCTCTCATTTTCTGGGACTTCATAGGCATGTTGATAGCAGTGTTAAAAGTTGTAACATAATCTTGAGTCTCTGCAAGCTGAGCAATTGTACTATACTTTGTGTACTGGATGCATATTATAACAATATCATTGTCCCAAAAATGTTCTTCATAGGTCTTTAGAATAGGGATGTGGCAACTATATAGGGGGCCCTCTATAGATTTTTTTCCATTCATACCTAAGCGTCATGTTTTCCAGCTTTTTTTGGATCAGAATTGCACTTTTGTGCAACTTTTGTCAGACGTTTTTCAACTAAAAGGTGTTGAGCGGTGCTTAAAAAGGGGCGGAGAGTTGCTGTTTGAGCAGAAAGCATGCAACAAAAATACTAGAAAAATATGCTCATGCTGTGTTTTTCAGGCATTTCTATTGAAGTCTATGGGGACAAAAAACACTCAACTCTGCCTGAAAAATATGTACTTTGAACGACAGGCATTTTGCTACAAGAGACAGGACCCTCAGATGTCAACAAGGGCTATTGAAAACAATAATAGGTTTTTGCGTGCTGGGTGTTTTAGAGCTTTGAGCTACAAATCGCAGAGAACGCCTGGGGAAAAAAAAAAAAAAAAAACCAAATTGCACGATTCTCCCATCATTAGAAGTTCATTAATTTTTCAGAAAATTTCCAACATGCCTGATCACTCAAAATCTGATGGCCGCACAAAAATCAGCAATTGCTGTGACCCACTAA